AGGGTCTGATACGGAGGCTCGGGAGGGCTGCGAGGTTTTAGGGGTGCCGGTGGTATGGGGGGGTTGATGTGAGGGTTTGGGGGCTTGCAGGAGGTTTGAGGGAGTGGATATGGGGTTTGGGGGGCTGCTGTGGGCTTGGGGGGGGCTTCTGGGGGGCCTGCAGGGGTTTGGGGGGGGGTGCCGCCCCCCCCCAGCCCCGTGTGACCCCCCCCCTGCTCGCAGAAGAGGCTGAAGGCAGCAGAGGCCGACAGCAAACTGAAGCAAGTCTACATCCCCACCTAGTGAGTGGGGGGGCTCGGGGACCCCCTCCCGGGCCTAGGGGGGCACGCAGGACCCCCCCTGACCCCCCCCCCTTTTCTGCAGCACCAAACCCAACCCCAACCAGATCATCTCGGTGGGCTCCAAACCCGGCGTGAACGGGGCCGGGTTCCAGAAGGGGCTGAGCTGCGAGAGCTGCCACAGTCAGTGGGGGCTGGGGGGGCCTGGGGGGGCTGCTGGGGGGTCCCTGGGGTTGGGGGGGGTCGCAGGGGCTTGGGGGAATTGGGAGGGGGCCTGAGGAGGTCCTGGGGTCTGGGGGGGGAACAGAGGTGTGTGGGGATTCCTGGGATTCGGGAGGGGTCGTGGGGTTTTGGGATGGGTCCTTTGGGGGGTTCCTGGGTTTAGGGGGGGGTCTCTGACCCACTGTCTCCCCCCTCCCCAGCATCCCAGTCCCCCCAGTGGTACGCCTGGGGCCCCCCCAACATGCAGTGCCGCCTCTGTGCTTCCTGCTGGATCTACTGGAAGAAATACGGGGGGCTCAAGACCCCCACCCAGCTGGAGGGGGTGACCCGCAGCGCCTCGGTGAGCCCCCCAAACCCCCGGGACCCCCAAAGCCCCCTGACCCCCCCCTGGTCTCTCAGGAGCCCCGTTTCCAGGGTCCCCTGTCCCAGCCCAGAGCCCGTTCCCCTGTGCAGCCCCGGGCTGGGCTGGGCTGGGGGGCTCTGGGGGCCGTTCTGGGGGGGGTTACAGCCCCCCTGACCCCCCCTTCCCTCTCAGGAGCCCCACTCCCGGGGTCACCTGTCCCGGCCCGAGGCCCAGAGCCTGTCCCCGTACACCACGAGCCGGGCCAAGCTCCTGGCCAAGAACCGCCAGACGTTCCTGCTGCAGACCACGCGCCTCACCCGCCTGTCCCGGCGCCTCTGCCGCGACGTCCTGCAGCCCCGGCGGGCGGCACGGCGGCCCTACGCCCCCATCAACGCCAACGCCATCAAGGCCGAGTGTGAGGGGG